GATTTCATAGCGGGGAAGTTAATTTGTTCGGAAAATGTAAAAGTTTTTTTTTATTTATTTTTACTATTTACTATTAGCTATATTTTATATTAATAAGATTAAAAATAAATAAACCAAACTACAGATATTCATAAAAGTAGAAAAATTAGAAAAATTACGCATTGTTTTGTGAATTAATATAATACTCTAGACACTGATAAACTTTTATTAAAAAACAACTTCTCAATTAAATTACATTGTGTAACAAAAAAACTTTACCTTGGTGTCAACTAGCGACATCTGGTTAGCAGAAAATAATTAGCCCTCATTACTTCAAATTTTTTTTTTAATTTATCTCTCTTTTTAAGCTTATTACACAGCTTTTTGCAGATATGCCATAATGAATATCAAAAACACTTTTTTTAATACACCCTAGTATATATTCACAGTTATTTGTATGTACTAATTGTAAATATTTTATATATATATGTTATATTCGTATAGTGTATTTGTCTGTAAAATGTATTTTTATTATTCATTGCATAAACCCTTTAATATATCTACACTTTTTATCTTGTTGTTATGAATATTACTTTAAAGATGTTGTTAACGCTTCATGTATCATACTCGTACTGAAACATTTGCATATTTGAACCATTAAAGGTAAGACAAATTTCTTACGCTGAGTCTTTTTTAAAGATATAAGGGTGACAAACGAGCGTACAGGCCACTTGATGGTAAGTGGATGTTGTGACGCATAGACCATTTATACCAGCGTATTAACACTGCTGTGTTTCTTATGGTGAGTGTAGAGAACCGGAGACCCTTTTTACTGGAAAAGAGGCATTCCATCTTAGTCCTCACGGGTGACATCGCATCTGCATTTTCATTCGCAAACAAGAATAGATGTAGATGTCTATGGGTCACAGCAACCATTTACCATCAGGTGGACTGTGTGCTCGCTTGTCACCTTATCCTATAAAAAAACATCTTTCCTCGATTTAGAATCAAAATGCAGATGCGTTTTCACCCCTAAAGATAAAGATGGAATGTATGCATTAAAAAAGTCTCCAGTTTTCTGCACTCAATATACGAGCAGCATTGAGCTGCTGTTTTGCCGGTCCGGTTCGAGCCGACCCATTTGTAATACCACTATAATATAGCTGCAGCATGGTTCTTTCGCGTATTTTTTCTAAATAAATTATTTGCAAATGTTGGTACTATTTATAACATAATTTCTTAATATAACAAACTGTAAAAAAAAAATAGCGCATTATGGAATTTATGATACTATGTTAATTTACGTTATGGAATTATTATGTTATGGTTTTTAATGTAAATGTGTAGAAAAACACAAACATCATTTTATAATAATTGGTTTCGTAATAAATTAACAGTTACCTCGTCTGTTGATTGAAACTATTTGTGTATTCAGTCATAATAACAATAAGATAAAATATTGCCAAATTTTATGTTTTTTGACCTATTTTCTATTTTAATTTGAAGATAGATCGTTTTTCTTAAGCAATATTCTATTGGAAAACATTCTTACAACAAATGTGAAACCTTCAAACGATGCAAATTCTTGACTTTGGCCTAATCTTTCATGCTAAATAACATATTAAAAAAATATTAATTAAGAATTTATATTTAAATTTAATACGACCATAATAGAATTTGAGAAGATTCAAAACTTAAAAAGAAATTTTTCAAAACATATTCATGTTTCGAATAATTTATAAACCCAATCTTATATCTACAAGTAAAATAAGTAATAACTTTTAAAGGATGTCTTATGTTTTATGTCCTAATGTGTCAAGCACCATAATTTTTCATTTAAAAATATAAGTGACAGGTCCTCTCATGCTCATATTTGAAATTATAACTATTATATGTACTGTAACATTTATACTTTAGAAAATTTGAGTCACTGTATAGCAGAGTACCAAACAAGCTCCTGACCAATTCATAATATAAAAGCAAATTAATAGGTCGGGGAAAAGTTACTTCGTATTTTGTGTGCATAAAATTGCAAAAAAATCTCTTTGGTTGTACTATTTGTATTTGTTCTGTTGGCTGGTTTTAATATCAATACATATAGGACAATATGAAAAATAAAAATAAAAAGTAAAAAACACTTTCCCGCCATTTTCAATTGTTTTTCTGTCCGTCAAAATGAGTGAATCTCGATACATCCTGAAGTTTTATTACATAAAAGGGAAAAATGTGACTCAAGCTGAAAAATTGTGGACCTAATTCAGTATCAGTAAGAGAAGCACAAAGTTGGTTTAAGCGTTTTCAGTCCGGGAATTTTAACGTCATGCATGATAAACTCGTTTGCCGTTTGATGCCGATGCCGTTTTTGAAAAAGTGGAGCATGATCGGCATATTAGTAGTAACGACATAGCCGAGGAATTGAGGATTGACCACAAAACAGTTTTGACCAATTTGAAAAAGTCTGGCTATACAAAAAAGCTCGATCGATCGACACTCCTGTTGTCCAATGATGTAAAATCTAACGACATCTCCCACATCAAAATTCGTTCAATCGTTTAACTGACAAATACAAAGAAACAGACTTGTGTGCATGCAAACACACCTCCATTCACACGAAAACTTTACATTCTTTCTCGGGAGTCTGCTAAAAATTTTATATTTATACTAGCTGATACCCGTGACTTCGTCCGGGTTGCTTACAAACGTCACTGAACATGTAGTGCTTATAAAAATCGTTGTTTCTTAAAACTCTAACAACTTTACATTAAATGAAGATAGCGAATTTTTTCTTTAGATAAGGGCAAAGTGTCTAACAAATAATACTTAGAAAACCTAATTGAAATCTATCCAGTAGTTGTTCCGTGATGCGCGCACAAGTGCAAACCTTGTATCATTTTATATATATAGATTGCATTGCGCCGTGTGGTAGCAAATCCACAGCAAGAAATCCACTTCCCTAATCATACCGTGAGTGTTCCTAAGAGGCGATGGAGAGAAGTGAAACAGGAGATGGGCAACAGCATCTTCTTAATAACAACTAAAATTATAACAAACTGCGGTTGCCAACTCACCCGCCAAGTGTGGAAACTATGGCAAAATCAGGGTACAATCACGAGGCAATATAAGGAGGAAGCCTATGTTCAACAGTGTACTGATAGACTGTAATAATTGAATGAAATGAATGAATTGCTATCACTGACCTCTATATATACATTGCTATAAATCGTTAAATATCCATTTGTACTGACAGTTGCATTTTAAACCCTTAACAGATTTCAAGTAATATCCAAAGAGTTTTAGTACAAAAACAAATACGTGGTAGAGCCATGTTGCAGCTTTATTAGTAGTATAGTTATAGCATGAATGGGTCGGCTCGATCAGGGAAGGATCACGCTCTCATAGAATACCAGCGTAAAATAACAGCTTAACACTGCTGTGTTTCGTATGGTGAGTGTAGAGAACCGGAGACTCTTTTTACTGGAAAAGAGACATTCCATCTTAGTCCTCACGGGAGACAACGCATCTGCATTTTGATTCTTTATTGAGGATAGATGTAGCCATGGGTCACAGCAGCCACTTACCATCAGGTGGACTGTATGCTCGTTTGTTACCGTATCCTATAAAAAAATACGACAAAGCCAAAAGGAAACCCCCTTTTTGGCTTTGTATTGATTTGCATAATTTTTTATGCTGTTTTTATTGTAAATTATTCATCTATTTCCTCATATCATAAAAACTACTTGCCCTATTAAGGCACAGTACCGTGTAGTGGCGGTGTTAGAATGTCCACTACCCATATCGTCCACGCGTGTCATAGGAGGTGACAGAGGGAAATAAACTTGGAAATGGTCAGCAGCGGCAGCAACGTCTTCCTAATTACAACCTAAAAAATTAAAAAACCGCGGTTGCCAACTGACCTGCCAAGAATGGCAACTATGACAAATATTATTACCCCTATCAGCAGTCTATGAAGAGGTCTAGGTCCGGCAGTGGACTTTAATAGGCGATAATAGTAATGGTACGGTAATAGTATTTTGGCAGATGAGCTATTGTTAGGAACGCCATGCTCTTCTGCAGGTTATAGTATTATAGTATAGTATATATTATACGTTACATAGAATAGAATATAATATTTTTTATTCAACATTGATTACAAGTAATTCTTATAGAGCAATTTTTTACTTTTACCACTGATTCGCAAAAAAAACTCTGTCCTGGGAAGAACTAGCAAGAAACCCAGCGGGACTTTTTTTAAAAACATAATTTACGATATAGTATTTTATACAATTATTAGGAAAACATTTAGAAACCGCATGGTAGTGATCACCTCATTCCCAGGGGTTATTATCGGTCGTGTACTCTCTAGTAGTATAATAACCCTTACTAGACAATTTTTGCTTAATAAATAATATAAAATTATAAAATGACTTCTTATATTTACGCGAAAACTACACAATATTGACTTTTTACTTCACGACGTTTCGTGTGCTTTACAGCACCCATGGTTAATTAGTTATTATAAATTTAAATTTGAGTATTAATTTATTATAATTAATAGAAATAAACAAAACGGCAATTTTTAGTGCAAAATGTGTAGCCATTATATTGAAATACCTTATTATGTGTAATAAATGTAATTGCGGCGACCGAAAATCCTACATCGACAGAGATCCTGTAGGGATACTATAAACAACAATGGACGTGGGTCTCCCGCTATTAAAATTTAAATAGCAAGAATATCCGCAATAGGTAAGAATATCCACCACCGCATATCATCCCGTGGGTGTCGTAAGAGGCGACAGAGGAAACTAATCAGTGGATGGGCAACAGCGTCTGCCTAATAACGACTAAAAATAAAAACTGCGTTTCCCAACCCGCTTGCCAAATGCCTAATTATGGCAATCTATTGGGGAGGCCTATGTTCAGCAGTGGACTTTATTAGGCTGTAACGGTAACGGTTTTATTAGATATTAGATAAATGTTATAATTATTGATAAGTATACAGTCACAAAACAAATACTCACGTATTTTCGAATAACACTGATCATAAGCAACACAGAATAATAAAAAGAAAACGTTAAATCTATTGCTGCTAATCATTTCGCCGCAAAGTAAGACTAATGCTAAATATAATGTGACTGTCTTTGACAATGGTAGACGGAACACTATGTGGTCGTCCGCAAATCAGCAATATTATATAGTGTGGTTTTGAACAATCTTATTATGAGCAAGATCAAGGTGACGTGCAATATATGAATAAAAACACCAACACTTCGTTATTCAACTAATGACAGCAATTTTTGACCCTAATCATGATAATAGTATTGTTAATTTTTTTAACTCAATTAATCAATCATAAAAAAATTCAAGAGAAGTTCAAAAATAATTTTTAACAAAAAGTAAAAACCGACTTCTATCTTTTTTACCCTTTTGAGTGAAGTAAGGAATAGCATAATCTTAATGTTGCCCTAACATTAAAAATTTAATTCCTTATTTTCGCACAATTAGGGGTGGAACTAATTCTTCAAATTTATGTAGGTGAACACCTGAATTAGGTATAAATAGGTACAAAAGAATCTTCAAAATTGTGAATTGTGAACCTCCTCCTTTTATGAAGTCGGATAAAATGGATCATCATATTATTAGGAGTGTATCCTTTTTATATTATTCTCCTGTCTTTCCTTTTTATATATTACTCTCCGGTGGTGTCGGGTTATCATCCCATCGGATTTTGAGAGTAAGGGAATAGAGAGTGCACCTATGCCTGTGCATACACTCGGGCACTGTAATCCTGTTCCGCGCAGATGGCTAGACTCGGTCAAGGACTCTTTGTACACGTTGATAACAGGTTACTTTTATTAATTACTGAATCATTATTCATCATCATCATGACTGCAAGTCACACGTACATTGCTAAACATAGGCCTCCCCCAAAGAATGTCTCAAAACAAGATCCTAAGCCTAAGTCGTCACTTCATCTAATGGATAGCCGCCCCAGATTTCGTTCCCTTCTGTTTAGAGTAAGGGTGACAAACGAGAACACAGTCCACCTGATTGTAAGTGGTTGCTGTGACCCATAGAAATCTACATTTATCCTCAATTAAGAATCAAAATACAGATGCGTTCTCACCCCTGAGGACTGAGATGGAATGTCTCCTTTCCAGTAAAAAGGTTTTCCGGTTATCTGCACTAACCATACAGAACACAGCAGCATTAAGCTGCTATTTTATGCAGGTATTCTGTCAGATCCTATCCAGTGGTCCTATCCCGGACGAGCCGACCCATTCATGCTGCAACCACAATATAGCTGCAGCATGGCTTTACCACGTAAAAACGTTTACTGGTACGACTAGTACATGGCCCAACGGTCACTCTTAGGTTATAACAGCCTATCCGACACGAACGGACATAGATCAGGCGCCATACCAACGAGTATACGTGTTTTTTACGGTCATGGTGGTAAAACACCACAAACTTCCTGAGTCCGGGCTGCTACTAACAAAAAACCCAACAACTAATTTTGGCCTGACACGGGACATCATGATCAGCAATCGCGGTTAAAACTACAAGAAAAAGAAGGTGGTCATTATTACTTTAACATTTATTACTACTTCATTTTTTTTACATCATCATCATTACGGCCTTTCATAAGTCCACTGCTGAACATAGGCCTCCCCCAAGGAATGCCACAAAGCACGGTCCTGAGCCACCTGCATCCATCGACTCCCTGCATGTCTTACCAGGTCGTCACTCCATCTCGTGGGGGGATGCCCTACACTTCGCCTACCGGTACGAGGCTGCCACTCAAGAAACTTTCTTCCCCATCGGTTGTCGGTTATTCGAGCTATATAGCCGGCCCACTGCCACTTCAGCTTACTAATCCGTTGGGCTATGTCGGTTACTCTGGTTCTACTGCGGAAATATCATTTCTAAGTTTATCACGCAGAGAAACCCCGAGCATAGCCCTCTCCATAGCTCGCTGAGCGACCTTGAGCTTCCTCATACGGCCAGCAGTGAACAGATCCGTAAGTCATCACTGGCAACACGCACTGGTTGTACAATTTTGTTTTAAGGTTTTGAGGTATGTCTGAAGAGAAGATGTGTCGTAGTTTCCCGAACGCTGCCCAGCCGAGTTGAATCCGTCGATTGACATCTCGGTCGAAGTTGGACTCACCTAATCGAACTATTTGTCCCAGGTAAACATACTCGTCAACAACTTCGAGCTTAGTGCTCCCAACAACTACCGGCATAGGTGTGACATGGACATTAAACATGATCTTTGTTTTGTCCATGTTCATCTTAAGACCTATCCGTTGGGAGCCACTATTGAAGTCATTAAGCATAGTGCTTAGGTCCTCCAGCGATTCTGCCATAAGGACTATATCGTCGGCAAAGCGAAGGTGAGTGATGTACTCGCCAATGATGTTAATACCGTATCCTTTCCAGTCCAGAAGCTTGAAAACGTCTTCCAATGCAGCGTTGAAGAGTTTCGGGGATATAACATCACTCTGTCTTACACCTCTCTGCAATTGGATAGGTTTCGTACTCTGGTTCTGTACTCGGATAGCCTTCGTAGCTCTACTGTACAAACACTTCAGCACTTCGATATACCGACAGTCAACTTGGCACCGCTGAAGGGACTGCAGCACCGCCCGAATTTCGACGGAATCAAAGGCTTTCTCATAGTCCACATACGCCAGACATAGTGGCAAATTGTACTCTTCGGGCTTCTGTACAATTTGCCGAAGGGTATGTATGTGGTCTATGGTAATAAAGCCTTTTCGGAAACCGGCTTGTTCGGGAGGCTGGAAGTCGTCAAGTCTGCGCGCGAGACGATTCGTAATGACTCTCGAAAACAGCACGTAGACGCGGCTCATAAGGGAAATCGGTCTGTAGTTCTTCAAGAGAGCGTTGTCACCTTTCTTGAAAAACAAGACCACCGCACTTCTGCTTCACGCCTCTGGTGTAATGCCACCATGGAGGACGGAATTAAAGAGCTTCTGAAGGAATTCAAGTACCGGTTTTCCACCCGCTTTCAGAAGCTCCGCTGTAATTCCATCCTCGCCTGGGGCCTTGCCGTTTTTAAGGTGCTGGAGAGCCATTCTAATCTCGCTCAGACTGACGTCCGGGATATCATCGGAATAATGTCGGGTAAGACTCGCTCTTGGATCGTTACTCACACTCGCGTGTGGCTCCAACGATGACATGTACAACTGCCCATGGAACCTCTCAATCTCACTCATAATCTCAGGTGCCCCGGAAACGATGCTGCCACACTCGGTCTTCAGCTTTGACAGTTGGCTCTTTCTGGCAGCAGATCTCTGGCAAATACTTTGGAGCCTTGACCGATCGCTTCTTCAATACCAGCTGTATTGAAGTTGCGTAAGCCTCGCCGCATGCATTTGGAGATCTGTCTGTTCAGTTGCCTGTATGCTGTCAAATCTGTTGAGGAATGTAGCTTCATCTCCAGTCTAACAGCCATGAGATTGAGAGTGTGATCGAAGAGTTTTTGTATTCTTCTGCGGCGGGTCTTGCAGAACTTTGCTCCGACCGCATGGACAGTTTCCACGAGCTTGTCATTCATATCGTCCACTTCATTGCAGTCTTCTAGGCACTGAAAACGGTTTTGTAACTCGAGCTGAAAGGTTTCGGGACTTCGGAATAGATCACGAGGGGGACGGAGCGGACTTCATTAGACGAGACCTCTCCAACTTAATGTTTAGGTTCAGTGTGCCTCTAACCATTAGGTGATCGCTACCAGTTTTCACCCTCGCGATCACGGATACATCACTGAACAGTTGTCGTCTGGTCGTCATAATGAAGTCAATCTCATTTTTTGTCGAACCGTCGGGGCTCGACCAGGTCCACTTCCTGTGGGGCCGCTTCTGGAAGAAAGAGTTCATCATAAAGAGTCCCTCTTTCTCCATGAAAGCGGCCAGCTGCTGGCCCCTTGGGTTCCGTTGCCCTATTCCAAATTTCCCTACTTTCAGCTCACCGTTCTCTCTTGTGCCTAGTTTTGCAATAAAGTCTCCCATTAACACCGTATATTGGGTTTTGGAGGAATGCATGGCTCTAGAGATATCCTCATACATTTCCTCCACCTCCTCATCGGGGTGTGCCGAGATTGGTGCGTAAACCTGTATGACCTTCAGCGAATACCGTTTGGTGATTCTGAGTATAAGGTATGCAACCCTCGTCGACACACTCTCAACCTTTACAACGTTGTTAACGAGAGACTTGTGGACGATAAATATGACACCTCCTTGGGACAGATGGTCGCCTTCCCGGTGATAGAGCAAGTTGCAAGATTCAAGGATTACCGTGTCCTCCCCCTCTCTTCGGACTTCGGATAATCCTATAATATGCCAGCGTAACTTGTCTATCTCTTCTTCCAGCTCCGCGATATTCTCGTCAGTCCTCAGGGTGCGTGCGTTGTATGTTGCAAGGTCGAGTCGTCTTAGGTGGCAACCGAACCTCCACCGGGGATTCTTAGCACCCCCTGCCCCACCGTTACCACGGTCGCCACCGTAGCCAGGAATAGCGGGGCCGCCGGGGACTGGGGGCCGTCTCTTTGTTTCTTTAATCATTGGGGGGTATTTGCCATAGTTGGCACGCTTGGCGAGCGGGTTGGCAACCGCAGTTTTTTTATTGTAAGTTTGTTGTTATCAGGAAGATGCTGCTGCCCATCTTCTGCCTGTTTCCCTTTGTCGCCTTTTACGACACCCACGGGAAGATATGGGGTAGTGGATATTCTTAACCGCCACTACACGGCTCTTTTTTTTTACTATAATATAATAATGTCCTCCAGACTGAATTTCGGTCACGGCGGCCAATCTCAACGGAGACTAGCCATCGGCGCAGGATTATAGTGCCCAAGTGTATGCGCAACCACAGGTGCACTCTCTATTCCCTCACTCTCATAGTCCGATGGGACGGTAAACAGACACGACCGGAGAGAGACCAGGCGCAGGAGCAACGGCTTTACGTGCTTTCCGAGGCACGGGGGCGAGACACCGCCAACTACCCGACCCCGGGCAGCTACTGAGAATTTCTTGATGGAAAAACTCAATATATGATTTTTTTTGACCCGATCCGGGATT